CGAAACAATCACTACCCCCTGAGTCACCTTTGCGGCGCAATCAGCTCCAGGTCCTTCAGGACGACCATGATAAGCTGACACAACGGGCTCTCGTAGCAGAACAACGTCTTCAGAAAATTGAAGCTGAGAACAGGTCTTCGAGACAGCGTCAAAACGGAATGAGCGCTCCAAATAACGAGATGAGGTATTTGCGAGAACAGGTGCAGCAGCTACAGCAACGCGAGCAGGAGCTGATGCAGGCTTTGGTACGTGTGCACTTCATCACGTTTCGCCCCTCTTTCGTTTTTAAGCAAACTTGTCATATTAAACGCGCAGTCTCGACGAAGTCGAGGGCGGCGCGATGAGCATTAGTCAAATCTGCTGGAATTACATGTATTAGAATAAGTGATACATGTAGAAAAAAATGTATTTTTACCTAAGAATACCTGCAGTTTTACTCTGCAATAGTCAATCCCCATACAATAGCTAATTGAAATATTGGCTGAACAAATTAAATATTAATTGCTGTCGTTTTCAAAGGGTAATACATACCGTGGTGCCAATAATTTCATTTCCATTTTTGTGGTATACAAGCAGTACAATACCGGTACTTACGTTGCCCACACGAAGTAAACTTGGTCGTCCATCAGCACGAGCATGGCGAAGTCCGACGCGTCGCGCCTGCGGAAGAAATTGGCCCTGGCTCCAGTTCTCTCTGCCCAGACTCTTCTGAACACATGGAGCGATTCATCAGACTCCTCATCGCAACCGCAGATGTGGCGCCCAAAAAGTCTGGGATAACACCAGAGAAGGCGGAAGGGGGGGAGGCTAGGAGACGCAATCCGAAGAAGCGGGTGCGTCGGCGCGAGGGTGACAACAGCGACGATACGGCGTCGGGAAAAAGTGAATATGCAAAGGAGAGGAAACGCAGACAGCAGAAGAAAGTCGTGAAAGCTCGGCGTAAACGATCGATTGAGGAGGCCAAGCAGGGGAAGTCGCCTGCGGAGCTAGCAAAAGCAAAGGCAGCCGCACTCAGAGGGCAGCGGATGCAAAAGCTGTACGCCATGCGGGTATCCTCCGGAGAGCATGAGAGAATGGCAACGTTTAAACTCAAGCGACAGGAGTCAGCTGAGGTGCTCAGAGCTAAGGACAGGATTCGAATGCGGGCGATTCGAGCGGCGCGTAGTGCACCAAGCATTTCTGCAGGTGCCGAAGCTGATATCGAAGATGAAGGAGAGCCTAGAAAACGTCCACGATCTCGACCAGCAGCCGGCAAGGACATTGCAGACAAGATGCCGAAGAACAATTTGCGCAGAACTAGCATTCCGAAAGCAGGCAAACCCAATCAGACAGAACCCGCTGCTCTCGCCGCCGAGAAAGCTCCAGACTCGGTGAAAAGTGATGCGCCCAGGAAAACTGAAGTGAAAATTCGCGCAATCGCTAAGATTAAACCTTCTGAGTTGCGGAAGCGCGACGAAGACAGAGCGGAAGCTTTGGTGCCCTCCGCTACCCCCAGTGCATCAGAAGAGAAAGACGGACACTCTTGGGAGGCCGAAAGCAAGACGACTATCGGGCTACCGACGTCGGGAGAAAGTGCTGCGGCCATGAAAGAGGATTTTTTTTATTCAGCGACGACTGACAACAAAATGAAAGTGACATGCGAAGCATCTGAGTGCGCTAAAAGCGGACAGGAATCTCAAGAGAGGCCCGACGGTGCAGACACCGACGCAATCAAGAACGAGTCTTCTTGGACTACCGATGGGGCCTCATTTGAACCAGGTGAACCATCGAAACCTGAAATTGAAGTCCAGGTGAAAACAGAGCCCCTTATTGACGCTGAAGCTACAGCTGAACTGGTGAAGAATGAAAACAAAGAAGAGACACGAAAGGAACCATCCGAGAGCTCTGCGTTGGCGGTGAAAACGGAAGACGAGAAGAAGCCTGACGAAGAGAAGTTGCTTCTTGATGAAGTGCCAATTCCCAGGAAGGCGCCAAAGCAACAATCACCTGCGCCTCAGCTTGGCACGGAATCATTTAAAATTCCTAAACGGACGTTTGCGAAGGTTGACGTAGCGCGACAGAAGGCAC